AACTGTAGGTTGGTAAACAAGAAGCTGTTTCTTCTGAGAGGGTCCAATTTTTGTAGGAAGAAATTGATCTGAACTGATGCAGTGTATTGTGATCAGTGATTGCTTAGACAACACAGAAATTCAAGGTGGAGATGGAAAACAATAATGGAAAAAGTGCTTTTTCTTCAACCTTTTTGGAGGCAGGACGCAAGTGGCTGGAGTGTTCCAACTGCTTTGACCATTTCCAGTGTGGCTTCATTGATTGGGGCACCACCTTGCTAAGGCCTGCAAAATGGACATCTTGTGGGTAGAGTCCTGAAGAGTCTCCAGGGCAATTTGAAGAAGCTCTGCAATCCTCCTCAGGAGGTCCTGAAACTGTTTGTAATCTTCTGGTTGCAATGCTGAGATGGGTGCCACTGCCTTGTGAGTAGTTGATGTAGACAGAGTCGCAGGGGTTGCTTGAGTTTTTCCTCTTATCTCATGGCACTGCTGAGGGAGCCAAAGTGCTTCTCTGTGAGGGTATCTCCGTCAAACTCCTGCCCAGAGTCCTTGAAATGAGGAAAGCTTAAGAAATGACTTTGTGTGGGGGATGAGGGTAGGACACTCATCCATCCTGAGCCATAGGGTGCAGTCTCCCAACCCTGGCCTCAAGTCTCACTAATGTACCCCAGACCCACAAGTGGTGCGAGGTTCAGGTTTGTTTTCTATTTCTAATCTTCTTCTATCAGCTATTTTGACTGAATCTGTCGTCTCATAGTTGTTCCCTAGAGCATTGCTATGCTGACACAAACACCACCAGGTTCCACGGAAAAGAAGGAATGTTTGAAATAATGAGCATAGCTCCAAATCATAGGCTGATGAAAGGCTTACACAGTCACTGAACATCAAATATCGAATGGAGAGACCCAGGGCTAAAAATACTAATAAAACAGTAGCCTGCCACAGTACAATGCTACCACCACCACCAACAAAAAGTGCCCAGAAAAAAGACTTTGTGGGGGAGGAGGATGACTGTCGCCACTTCACTGAATTAATCAGCACGACATTCTGCTGCAGGGGAAATGGACTAAAATTCTGTGATGCTGAATACTGTCCAGAGTTATTTCATCTACTGTGCTAATTAGCCTGCTGGTTCATTACGGGTCCTGCTGGACTCTGTAAACGTTTCATGATGACTTAGAAGGCAAAGATTGGGCCACATCTTACCCCAGGGTGGACGAGCCAGGTCTGCACCGGCTGAAGAGATGGGCACTAAGCGAGCCATAGTAACTAGGAATAGTAACTGCTGCTAGGCAGTGTGAGCAGCAGCCTCTAGCCACCAGTGAACTGGTGTCAGGGCACTGCCTAGCAGCATGGTCTGAGAGCTGTTGATGAAGTACCTGACAGTGTGGTCCCTGAAGGGCCAAGGAAGCAATAGGGAAGGATTAGGGGAACTAGTCCAGTTCATACCTGGAGGAGGAGGGGAAGAGCAGCCCAACGGGAGGCAGATATGGCTGTGCTGGAAGAGGCCTTATGGAGACGGTGATGTGATGAGCAGCTGCCCCAGGATGGGGTGGGGAGTACAGATTGCAGCAGTTGGGAACAAGAATGACAACCAGCCCTGCAGTGCTCTCCTTTTTGAATTTGCTCTTGGCCAGTTTGTTGTTTCTCCTGGTCCCAGTTTTCTAGGCCTGGGCTTGGAGGCTCAGCTGCCTGGCCTCCCCTCTGTAGCCAGCTTTCAATTGCTTCTCATATAACAACCTTTTAGTCAGTTCTTATTGCTGGTCACTATGTAGAGCATTTAGTGCTTCCTATGGGTAAGCTGCAGTCCTAGGACCTTGCCTCTCACAGGGCCCAGTCATCATCCTCAAGGTCACACATCGTACGGCACAGAGACCAGGAGCATCCAGTAAGGAGACAGCAGGTGTGCTACACTGTACAGCAATGTAACAAATGTTACTCTACCTTCTGTGTGTGTGGTATAGGCAAGAGTGCGTATACTATCAACTCAGGCAACTAGGGGAGGTTTGGGTACAAACCTTAAATAATTCAAAATTGGATGAGTTTTTCAAACACAAAACCTCACCGCCACTGCCTGCCCGTGAGTGACAGAATTGTACCCTATGCTCGGGGGGCCCTCTGAGAGCTCAACTTGCTGAAGCTGAAGAACTTTTAATTAAATCCCAGAGCTGAACCTAAAGTGAGGCAATTACAATCCTGAAATGTGGCGTTAGTCACCCTGCCCTAGTCCCTTAACAGCTTTGCATAAGGGTCAGGGTAGTATAAAGGGTACTACAAGCAAGAGTTCCAGCCATGGGAGGGTTCTGTCTGCCAGCAGAGAACAAGCCCTGGTGTAGGGAGTGGGGCGGGGTGGGGGAAATCACACAATTCTGTGGGGCTTCCAGGCAGCACTATGGCCTTGGGAAATTATTGTAATATAGCCAACTACCCAGGGATGGCTGACATGCTGAGGGTGGGGGAATCCCCTGCGCATCCCAGGGCTGGAAGGCAGGATAGTGGCTAAAAGCCACCATAGCTTTTCCTGCCAATACACATCTGTGAAGGGTGTGGGCACCTCTTTGAGACAGCGCACAAGTGCAGCCTCAGTAGGGTGGATTGCTCACCTCATGCCTGCGTCCCAGGACAGGGAGCTCTACAACACATCCTTTTGGGCCGGAGCCAATTATGCCGATGTCTTTCTGGCATCTTCTCAGCCATCTTCGTTGGCATTGCTCCACACAGGACTATGGGGGTGGCTATTTGAAAATAACAAGATGGGAACCACCACAAGCTGCATGCATTTTGAATTAAGAAGAGAAAACCATTTAGTTTTTTTAAATGCCCCACAGACATACGTGTAATGACCATAGGATCTGTCCTTTTGGGAGCTCTGTGTAGTTTGCTACTCCCACAAACAGGGTAAAACAATCAGGTGTGTTAATGTTGTACTGTGGCAAAAGCCACTTGCCCAGTCAGCCGCCCCCACACATATTATCACATTAAAAAATCTCTGTAGCAATGGGTATTTAAGGGTCTGGAGTGCTGCTAGGTATGCACTTAGATAATGTGGCCTATGCTCGGCATTAGAAATGTTCATCACAAAGGGCCTATAGACCACAACTTCTTTGGAGGTTCAAGGATGTCAGGCTTTGGCTGGGCAACTTTTACCTTAGCTGCCTCCTGCTGTTAGTGCTGGATTTATGCACAAGAAAAGTAAGCGACAGCTCAGGGCCTCAGAATGGGGGGGAAGGGGGGGAGGCTCTAAACACAAAAAAATCACTAGTTTTTAGGTGCATCCTCGCCTATGTACTGGTACATATGCAAATATAAAACCTTATGATTGCTAGTTGCAGTGTTAGAATAATACACATTTGGTAATGCTATGGGGGCTCGTAAATGTGACATAATTTAGGGCAGGAATGGGGAACCTGTAGCCCTTGGCTTGTCTTGATCTGGCCTCTGAGGCTTGGGGGCTACTCCCCCCCCCACAGCATTGAGGAGCCTGTTCTGGAACTCTAGCCCCCCCTCCCCCCACTACCTCACTGTGGGGCTGAGCACACAAAATCTCCTTATCTGGGGGTCAGTGGCCCCCCCTCTGCCCCAGAAAAGGTTTCCCCAACCCTGGTTTAGGTCTTCAGCATGTCTTAATCTGGCCCTTCCTGCTGTGCTTATGTTTTCTGGCAGGTGCCTAAGTACAGTGCCCAGCCCATAGATGTGTATTATAGCCCTGCTTCTGCAAAGGAATCAGTCAGTAATGGCCCCTTATGCCCACAGCAAGTTTTTGTTGACTTCTTTGGCAGTACAAGCCCATGCTTATGAAGCCCTTTGGAGGCTCAGGCATATAGGTTTGCACCTAAGTCAGCAGGGCTCTTCCCTGCGGATGGGAAGGAGAGTAAGAGTCTGTGATTGTAGATTCCAGGATTGGGGAGGGGGGGCATTTTTAAAAATTTTATCTTCCTCCTGCTTCATCACTTTGGCTAAGTTATTTCAAGTAGCATGAAATTAATATAAGTTTGGGGGCATGGAGGGAGAAGAAACATAGAAGCCACTGACAGGATTTTTTTTAAATCTTTTAATTAATTAGTTTTGCCAAACAGATAATGGATTCTGAAATTCATTTGCTAAAAAGTTTCCACGTGAATGCCATACTCGCCTGACACAAAGAATGCCTTTGTGATAGCCGGTACCATCAGCTTATGGCAACAGTTGAAAATAACATTTTAATTTTGTATGCAACAATGTAAACTTCAAAAATAGTAAACTAACTTTTTTTGTTCCTTTTTACATAGCATGTGGTCTATCACAGATAGAAATTTAATGGCGAAACTAAATCGCGTAAGTAAACATCTGGTGCTTACAAGTTTCATAAAAAGGTGTTAGATTACATTTGATGTAAATATTGTACAGTTCTTTTTAAAACTCACAACTGTAGAGTAAAAGCAACTGGCATTTCACCTCGTTAGTACTGTACCGTACACCATGAACCATATTCTCTAGTCTTGGCTGTGTCAGCTTCCTTGTTCATTTTATTGTAAGGAAGACTGCTATACATATAGCCTACTTATCCTCTTACTCACACTAAATCAAGAGTAACTCCACATGGGGATAAAATCTGTGCAAGTGAGTAGAGAATCAGGCCCACAGAGCATGAACTTGCCATCTCCGAGCACCCTAAATTCCCATTGAAATCTATGACTCATATCGTGGGCAGTCATTGACTTCACTGGCATGATTTTGTGCAAGAACTCTTGCAGAAGAGTTCTTGTGCAAAAACTCTTCCAGAAGAGAGTGTCTACACTGGCATGTGCCTTTGTGCAAGAGATGTGCTTTTGCACAAGAGCATCCATGTCAGTGTAGATGCTCTCTTGCACAAGAAAGCTCTGATGGCCATTTAACCATAGGGATTTCTTGCGCAAGAAATTCATGTTGCCTGTCTACACTGGCCTCTTGCGCAAAAACAGTTGTGCAAGAGGGCTTATTCCTGAGCGAGAGCATCATATTTCTTGCGCAAGAAGCACTGATTTCATACATTAGAACTTCAGTGTACTTGCGCAAGAACACGCGGCCAGTGTAGACAGGCATCAAGTTTTTGCGCAAGAGCGGCCACTTTTGTGCAAGATCGTTCCAGTGTAGACACAGTCCGGGAGTTTTGGACACACAAGGGTCCCCTGCATTGTAAAATGACACAAGTTCCTTGCAGTGTGACCTGGTTCTATGCGGATAAAGACTAGGATTCTGTAGAAGGCACTGTATTTCTCTTGCATGATCTTAAACGTGGAGTGCAGTCATGTGCAATATCAGGAGACTGGGCTCTAGACTGCTTCTCCTATATTACTTGAGTACAAGCCTTGGAGCACGTTAACCTCGCTTTTGCCCTGGCACAAAGTGCACTTATCTTCACGGAGCAGTTTCCTAATATCCCTCTCTCACCTCTCCTCAAAAGATTTGCTTTTGGTTCTTTGAAAACTTTAAAAGTTAAGAGTATAGTGCTAGTAGAAAATAAACATATGATGTAGCATAGCATTTGCTCATTTTAAATCACAGTGTGGGATTCCTCATTCAGTTTCTAATGTTTTAAACATCTGCCCTGCTTCTCATGAAAATTGATCTTTAAAATTATATAAGCAAAGTTAATTTGACTATACATTACATTCATTGAAAAAGAGGGATGAGGTTCTTGTTTTGATTTTTTTAAAGTGGTATTTCTAAGTGAAAGGTCTGATGTGAAAAAGTGCAAGCAAATTGGACATGCCAAAACTTGATGCCATAGACTATCATATCAAAACTGTACAGGTGTATGTACACTATATGGGACATGTGTGCTTTGCAAGAAAAGACCCTTGAATCATAACATACAATGTTAATCACAGAGTTTCCATAAAAATAACATTAATGAGCAAAGGATGACATGGAAGGACGAGTTCTCCTGCTTTTGCTCTGCAGTCCTGAAACAATGTCTCCATTCCCCTCGGGGAGCTCCTCCTTCTTCCGCACTTTCAGGCGAGTGAGGAGTTTCATTAGCCAGACGTCCCATTCCTCTGGTAGAAGCAGGAGGAGAAAGCCCAGACCAATGATGACAATGGCAATTACACGGACACTGTTGAAGACAATTTCACTCGTGTAGTGATCAACAACTGTATGAAACATTGAACTGATGTTATTAAAAGGGACATGCCATTGACAAAGCATCTCTCTCTCTCTCTAAGACACACACCCCACCCCCGTAGTACATTGCATGCAGAGAAGCAGCAAAGGGCAGGCTTTTAATGTAGGTGGAGTCTCTCTTGCCTGGAGCAAGTGGCTTTCTGAACATGTATCATTGCAGAAGGTCTACAGCTCTCCCTGTCAGTTTAACCTGGACATTCAGGCTATGTCTAGACTACAGAGTTTTGTCAGAAAAATGGCCATTTTTCCTACAAAACTTGAGTTACGTCCATACTGCAAGCGCATTCTTTCGACAGTAAATTGAAAGAACAGAGGGCTTTTTGTGCAATTGGTAATCGTCAGTCTATGAGGAAGAAGCCTTTCTGTGAAAGAGCTCTTTCGGAAAAAGGTGTGTGTGGATGGGAAAGAGGGAGTGTTTTTGGAAGAAGAGGGAAGAGGAAAACGCACAGGTGGCCTGGTGTCCATTCTATCCATAGCAATCACTGCTTACATGCGAGATAGCTTCGAAAAAGCAGATCACTTTTTCGATGCGCTTTTGCAGTGTGAACGCTCTCTTTTGCAAGAAGTTTTTGCAGAAGAGCTCCTCCGAAAAAAGCTTCTTGCGCAAGAAGTCTGTAGTCTAGATGTAGCCTCAGTGAGCCCAGATTACAGAATTTGCCTTAAATATAGAAAGGTGTGCCATCTGGCATGCCATCTCTCATCCTGCACACTGCCCAGTACTGGCCTGTGGCTATTTAAAGGTCCTGCTGCCCTTCCTTGCTCTCCTGCCGCCACAACTGAAGTGTGCATCTCTTTCACTTCCCAAACCTGGTGCTGTTGAGTAAGGGTAAAAAGAAGCAAAAGTGTTCTTAACTCAGACTACCTAAGTGTTAGCTAACTGAGGTTAAAACAGCAGTTACAACACAGCAATGCAGCTTTTAGCTTGGGTTAGCAGCTTGAATTCAGCCTATATAGGGATCCTCTGGGAGGAACACAAACTTCCAACACTTGTTAAAAACTGACTTGCTTTCACTGCTGCTTTAACCTGAGTTAAGAACAAACCTTTTTGCAGGGCAGCTGTACCCTAAGACTCCCAAAATGTGCTGAGCTCTAGAGGTTCTTTTATCTGGATTATTCGTTACAGCAAGATTAGGTGTTCACTTTCATTAAGTGTAGATAGCCTTGCACTCGGATTAAATGGCAAAAGACACTGCATAAGCAGAATGTTCATTAGTTCCAAGGAAAGCTATCAGAATAGGGCTCTTTTACTTCCCAGCTGTGACTTTTAAGATGGTCATTTGCTGGTGTCCAGGGTTGGGTGGAGAGGGGGGTATGAGCCTGAGCCCGTTCCCTGTATTTCCTCCTCAAAGGCAGTGTTGAGTGGCCACTGGCAACTGTCGTCCTTAGATTCTGGCTGTGACCCAGACCCCTTTGCACTGATCTCTGCAGTGCCCCTTGGAAAGCATCACAGGAGGAAGCACAAAAGATGCCAGGATAGTGCTGCACTGGGCCCGTGTGTGACTGTGCAGCTCTGACATATAAAGATTTGCTCTGACCATGGTACAGTAGCTCACACTGACATAGTGCCTTGCAGTAGACATGCTCAAATTGGCATGCTAAGACAGGCATTAGAGAAATAAGAAAGTGCCCTCCAGGGATCAAGTGACTTGCCCTAGGACACACAATGAGTCAGTAGCTGAACTGGGAGTAGAACCTAAGGTTCTTAACTCACAAGGCCTTCTGCTCATCAGCAAATCACATTATCTTACTATGCAATCCAGTTTGCAGCACAACACATTGTAGTAAAGAGTTCCTGTAATTACAAAACTATGGCTGAAGCTGGAGTAGATTGCCTTTTCACTGGAGAGAACCACACTTAGTTTCTTAAGTCCCCACTGGAAAATGTTTGCTTCAAATTTTATTGTCCCTAAAAGTTACTTTTACACATAAGTTTTAAATGCCAAAGCCTCCCTTAGCCTCCCTAGTATTCCCAGCCTCACTTCAAAGTGCCTGTGGCATGGTGGTGGTTCTTCCCCCTTCCTGTGTATTTGCAGAAAGTGTTCTTGCAGAGGACCTGGGGTAGTCCTGCTGTGTGGGAGACGACAGGGCAGTAATGAGCACCCACTGGATTGGCACTTCACATCTTCTCCTCTTCTTCCTGGCACAGCTGTGCACTGGGGAGAGGTGGTTTGGGCCTTCGCTGCCTCAAGCCATACACAAGTCTGTGATAGGTAGCTTATAGGAGAGGGTAGGGTAGTTAACCACATCTGGTGATTAAATGCTCTCATGAGTGCTGATGTCAGGCAGAGAAGTGATTCTGCATTACCTTGAGCAATGAGACATGGGGAAAAGAATAAATGTATCTGAAAGGAGCCTGAGTTTTCCCAAAGGCCCAGGGCCCACTAAAGAAGTGTATGTGAGAGACAGAGAGTGGGTCTACACGTAGGCTGTGTCTAGACTGGCAAGCTTTTTCCGCAAAATCATCTGCTTTTGCGGAAAAACTTGCCAGCTGTCTACACTGGCCGCTTGAATTTCCGCAAAAGCACTGACGATCTCATGTAAGATTGTCAGTGCTTTTGCGGAAATACTATGCTGCTCCCGTTCGGGCAAAAGTCTTTTTCCGAAAGACTTTTGAGCAAAAGGGCCAGTGTAGACAGCAGAGATTTGTTTTCCGCAGAAAAGCCCGGATCGCGAAAATGGCGATTGGGGCTTTTTTGCGGAAAAGCGCGTCTAGATTGGCCACAGACGCTTTTCCGCAAAAAGTGCTTTTGCGGAAAAGCATCCTGCCAATCTAGATGCGCTTTTCCAAAAATGCTTTTAACGGAAAACTTTTCTGTTAAAAGCATTTCCGGAAAATCATGCCAGTGTAGACGTAGCCACAGAGTATGGCATTGGAGGTCTACGCTGGTGCCCCCAACCATTGTCCCCTCTATGGAGAGCCAAGAGGAGAGAGGGAATGGATGAAGGACAGGCACATTGGATTCTGAATCAGGGAAAAAACAACAAGGAGTCCAGTGGCACTTTAAGATTAACACATTTATTAGGGCATAAGTTTTCTCTCATGCAAGCTTATGCCCTAATACATCTCTTAGTCTTTAAAGTGCCACTAGACTCCTCCTTGTTTTTGCTGAAACAAACTAACACAGCTACCTCTCTGAAACCTGAATCAGAGAAGCAGCTGGCAGGGTCTCCCTTTCCCATGGATGGGAGCGTTTATTTTTTTCCTCTTTCCTTTTGTAACCCTGGAAGTGGAGGGGAAACTTGCTGGGTGACACATTCTCCTGCAGAAGAAAGGAGGCACAGGCTGACAGAGAATTCCCAGTTTGGACAATTCTCCCATTATGTGCTGGTGCCTCTGCCTACTGGCAGGGAAGTTCAAAGCCCCATAAATAGAGCTAGTTGAAAGTCCCCTTACCACATGTTTTTTTTTTTCCAATGCAAATATTGCACTGACATTTTTTGTTTCATTCAAAAATTTCAATACTTTTTTAAAAGCTAAAAATAATTTTGTGTTATTTTTGTTGAAAATTCAGATTTTTTCCATTTCTTTAGAACATTTTCAGAGAAAATACCATTTTCTGACCAGCTCTCCCCTTAAACTCCCAGGCCAGTTTCTGTGGCTGCTCTTACTTATTCTGAAGTCTTGTTTGAGAGTGACTATAAGTTAAAATTGTCAGAAAAATTTAGCAGCCCATGCCAAAAATCTACCATAATGACTGAGGATGTTAAACACCAGTGCATCAGGCTGAAGTATCACTACTTCATAGTACTGAAACTAGGAGTGGAGCTGGAGGGCTGCAGCACCCTTTGACTTGAAGTGTTTCTATTACATACACAGGTTTTACAGTTTGGTTGAATAGCTCTCAGCACCAAAATTGTTCCAGGATCTCTGATACTATTATACATCTCTCAGCATGATTTCTCAGAATTTCATTGTGAAATGTAATATGATTGGTCTAAATATGTTTAGCATTAGATACATTCCCTTGAACTGGTGAAGAATACAATCAGCAATACATTTCTTCAGCTATTAGTTTTCATCCAATCACAAGGATGACTGACTTCAAATCAAGTTTCTTTTTCACACAAATCTTTTTCAACACAAATCAAGTATCCTATCTTCTTTGGAAGGTCTATATTTTGAAGAACAATATATAAAACAGGAAAATATACACTGCTTTAACCAGTTTGTTCTCTGCTCTTTCCGTGCGTGTGGCTACAAAACATCATTTTATTCAACTCTGATGATAAGCTGTTAGTTTGTAGTTATGTTAACTGTTTAAACGTTAAAAAAGCTTTGTATATATTGTAAATAAAAAAAGGAAGTTAAAAATTCTTACTTGCATTGACAGGTACGCTGAGTACAATTCCAAGAGATATCAAGGTAGGATATGTAATAGCAATTCCAAAATTTAATAGAATATTGAATGCTGAAGAAAGAAAAAGAACTTTTATTTTTAGATACACATTTCTTGTGAAATCAAGCTTAGCTTATTTTTTACAATATACAGAGATTTTAATCTTAAGTATTTAATGGTACATTTCCCTCTCCATATGTGGTAGACCCAGACTTCAGGTAATTGCTGCTAGTATTTCTGAAAGTAACCTGTACACAGAGGTCTCTATGGGCACGTCTACATTAGGAAATTATTTTGAAATAACTTATTTTGAAATAATAACTCACAATATAACTATTTCAAAATAGTGTGTCCACACTACAGGGAAACCTCAAAATTAGTCCGATGCAGGCTCCCTTCATGTGGATGCACTACCTTGACTTAGAGCCCCTGGAAGCACTAAGGAGTAATTACTTTGAATGACTCTGGGGAGTAGTTATTTCAAAATAGCAGCCGTGGAGCGGCCAACACTACTGCTATTTCAAAATAACTATTTCAGAATAAACATTATTCCTCCTGGAAAGCAGGAGTTATTTTGAAATAACCAGACCCTTATTTCAAAATAACAGGTTTGGTAGTGTGGATGTTCTGTGTATTATTTAGAAATAAGGTGAAAGTGTAGACTAAGGCTATCTTGCAATCTGATCTGCCTGGGCAGACCCTTGAGCCAATGGGAGGCTCTCTGACTTCAACAGGACTCAGTTGACAGGGATCCAATTGCAGGATCAGTGCCATACAGATCAGAATATGTCCCATATCACACAGCAGTGTTCAATAACACAACTATATCCCATGACAGCCCCCATTCCATATGATTATACATTCTGTCTTCCCATTTTAAAATTGAATGTCTTCATCTGGGAAATCGTGGGCAAAACAAGCATTTGTGTCCAGGCATTTTTGCCTAACAGCTGCCTGTGGATGACGCCTGAACATATTTTAAATCTAACCTTGATGATATTCAAGCTGTTTGATAAACAGCATTTCTTTTTAATAGAGAGCATAATAACTAAAATAGGAGTTTTTATGACAAATAAACAGCTATTGGGGAATCAACTTCATCCCTGGTCTTATTTTACTAAAGTCAGTAAGGCCACGTCACAGGGAGCGGAACAGTCTGACCCACATTGCATGGTCAAATTCTATTCTAGAAATGACTGTTTTCATTGATGTGACACTTTCCAACTGAAAGGACACTAACATGCTTTTACAAATTCCAGGCCAAATTCTACATGCTTTGTTCATATAAAACACCTATTGTCTTAGTTTAATAACTAAAATGCAACCACTGCTGTAGTGGAACATGGTAGCTGTTAGAAAGCACACAGAACACCACTATAATCTGGGACAAGGAAGGGAAAATAATATCTCCAACTGATACATTTTAGCTGGCAGAATGTAATTATCCAAACTAGAATCTGGCCATAGCACCAGAGTTAATACTTTTAATTTAGCAAAGAGTTGCACAACCTCTTTAATGCTCACATGTAGTCAAGGCTTTTGTTTTACATCTCACCCACAAATCATTCTTTCAGTAGCACAGTACAGCCCTGACAGTAAGCAATATCCCCAACAATAATCACAGGATTCTACCCTATATTTATAGTCATGTACAAGGCCCTCTGGATGATTTCTCAAGCTAAACTTTGGGAGCAGAAAAAAAAAAGGAAAAAAAATCTACATAATTTCAGAAATATCTAAATGTCCATTAGGCAATATAACTCATCAGGGGTGTTATGAATGTATAGTATTTACTTACTCAATAAGAGAATTGCAAATCCGCAAAGGTTCCCCCAAGGAATAACATCAAAAGAGCTCCAGTATTCCACTTTGGTAAAATACAGAATGACGGGAATACAGGTGATGAAAAGGACGTTGAAGACACTTAACACAGACAAGAATAAGGCAGCTTCTCCAAATTTAGCACTGCCCAGGAGAAGTTTGAACAAAACCTGCAAGAGAAACAATAAGTGGATTTGCTTTAACTCAAAAACATGCCTGGTCAGCTGACCCTTTTCCACTCTAGCAATATACTAATGCAAGGATTATGTCTGCTGCTGCTACCACTAATGCAGCATAAAATATGTATGTGGAGGAGCAATTTTTATCCTGCAAAACAGGAAGGAATTACACAAGAAGTTTCTGGAGAGGCATTTGACTTCCTCAACACATTCCCTTTAAACCTGTTTTTTCTTTGTAACATTCTCTTTAGAAAAAGAAAAAATAAAACTCTAAGGGATGTGATGGCAATTCAGCTTCTGTGCCTCTTCCACACCAATCATCTTTGCTTCCAATCACCTGCCAATCAGAATGCCAATTGTGGCAGTGGAGTCTATGACGTAAATTTTCTTCTCTGCTAGGAACTCAATGACAAACCACTCACTGAGTGGTTGGCAACAGTCTTCACTCACCTAGCATGTGTGCGAACTCTCTCTAAATCCTATTGCTCATGAAAGGCCATATGTCCTCATGACCAGACCCCATTCCCCTTAGCATGCTGCGTTAAATGTACTAAAAAAGATAGGGAGTGTTAAATATTTGGTTTTCCCCTTCTGATGGTGGTGAATTATAAAAGGCATTTTGGTCTGTGGGGAAGAAAAGAAGACAAATATTGATTTTTAAAGCATTCAACCTATGTAACTACTGAGGGGCTCAGTTTTGCTCTCAGTTTTACTTATTTAAATCTGGAGTAACACCATTGACTTCAGTGTTTGCATTGCATTTACATTAGTATGTCAGACCCAACTTTGGTCCAGGATTTCTTCTACAGAATGATAATCGCTACCATTCAATAATTCTATTTAGTTTTTAGTGAATAGATCAATAGGATGAACGACATGTTAATATCTCATTTGAATCAGTCAGAAACATGTTTACATTTTGTAGAAAGGAGGGCCACATTTAAGGTAAAGAAAGCGAGGCTTGTCCCTTGATGACAGTATTTTATCACACTTCCCTTAACAGTGAGCTATGGAACCAAATCCACCGTCCCTAAAGAAATGAAAGGACGAGTTCTGGCCATTAGCAGGTACCAGTATTTAATCCTGGTGCCGAGGGGTCACTGGGCTTTGGTAACCTTATCTCAGACAGGAGGATGCTGCAGAAACAGAAAAGGCCCAGCACAGCGAACATCAGCAGTACAAAGAGAAAGGGATTGTGAACGTTTGTCTGTTTACTTTGAGAAGAGAAGTCAGAGGTGACATGCTAAAGAGATATAATACAATGAATGGAAGAGAGAAGGCCCATTTGTTGTTCCTTAACTGACTTGTCAGATGGTTTGTTTCACATCACACATTGGGGGTCAAACATTTCCTGCTGTGGAATAGCAAAGCACATATCATCCTAGGTGCACTGCAGCTTTTGCCTTGCCCTGATACATGCAAAGTGTGTGGGTGACTGATTGTTGGAGCCTGAGTGTTGCTAAACTAACTGATCCTTTGTACTGTTCTAGAATAGCAAGTTCCATGTTCCCATTTCACTATGAAAAAGACAACAAGGAGTCCTGTGGTACCTTAGAGGTTAACAGATTTATTAGAACATAAGTTTCATGGGTAAAACCCACATCAGATGAATTGGGAGTGGAAGTTACAGAAGCAGGAATATATATAAGGAAGAAGTTGCTTATGTTAATGAGGCTAATCAGGGCAGGGTGGAATTGGGTCATTGACAATGTACAACCAATCCTGGAAAATGATCCCTTTGCTCTCACAGACCTTGGGAGACAGGCCAGGCCTCACCTATAGTCAGCCCCCTAACCTGAAGCAAATACTCACCAGCAGTCACACAATGCACCACAGAAACACCCAGGAACCTATCCCTGCAACAATCTCTGTTGCCAACTCTGTCTGCATATCTACACAGGCAACACCATCATACGACCTAACCACATAAGCCACTTGATTAGGGGTTCATCCACCTGCACATTTACTAATGTGGTATATGCCTTCAAGTGCCAGCAATGCCCCTTGGACAGACATATTGGCCAATCCAGAAAGTCTCTGTGCCAAAGGATAAATGGACACAAATCAGACATCAGGAATGGTAACACACATAAACCTGTAGGGGAACACTTTGACCTCCCTGGACATTCAGTAATAGATTTGAAAGTAGCCATCCTTCTACAGAAGAATTTCAAAACCTGATTACAAAGGGAGACAGATGAACTAGAATTCATTTGGACATTCAACACTATTAATTTAGGATTGAATAAAGATTTCAACTGATTAATGTATTACAAAGGCAATTTCCCCTCTCCAAATATTCACATCTCCACACCTAATGCTGTGTATGACCCACTTCTATCTTGACTCGATTAGCTTCATTAACTGAAGCAACTTCTTCCCGTTTCTGTAACTTCCACTCCCAATTCATCTGATGAAGTGGGTTTTGCCCATGAAAGCTTATGCCCTAATAAATTTGTTAAGTTTCTAAGGTGCCACAGGACTCCTTGTTGTTTTTGCAGATATAAACTAACATGGCTACCTCTCTGAGACTATTTCACGATGGTTTTAAACACACTAATGTTCTGTCTTACATCAAACTGGTGTGTCTCACATGAAATCTAAAGAGGTTAGAATCTAACCAAAGCAGCACTGCTAGCAAACTATTAGCCACCATCTCTCCATTACTTTGTGAGCTTATTCTGCTGAGAACATCTGATACAACACACAAAATCCTGTCAGTGGTAGGAAACCGTCAGAAATATCTTCACTCTCAGAGCAGGACAAAGCAGCTACTTTTCATACTCATTATTCTGAGTTCATTATAGATAAGAAGGTCTTAGTGAATCTGAACTCCTGATTTGACACCCTCTGGGCAGTCTGGTTATTTCACTGTGTCAAGAAAAGGAGTGAGAACAGGGGAAGCAGATAGGGATTGTGTCTGTATAACAAAGGCGGCTAAGAAAGAGGCTGCAGGAGAGGACTGGGACAACGAGCCAGTGTCAGCTTTTTTGCAGCTGGTGATGGGAAAATCTGTAATGTGGATAACCTGACGTTTATGGCTTCATATGCCCCTTTTAGCATCAGTAAACCAAACCACAACCCAGAAAATCCATTCTGTTGGAACTGACTAGGAGGGAGTGGACTTTAATTTCCAGCCACTCCTGACATTTCTGACAATAATCACACCATGCTCTGAACAAAAGAGAAACTGGTTAAAATTAGGGGTGTAAGAGACTAGGGGTATGTCTACACTGCCAGTTTTTGCGGCAGAAAATATGCTAATGGGAGACTCATTTGCATGAGCCACGATCTCATTTGCATATTTTCTGCTGATCCGGTTTTCCGCAAGGGGTTTTTGTGCAAAAACAAGCTGTGTGGATGTTTCCGTTTTGTGCAAAACCCCCTTTTTGCGCAAGATCCGTATGCCTCAAAAAAGGAGGTATACCAATCTTGTGCAAAAAGGGGTTCTTGCATGAAAAGGAAATGTCCACACTGCTTGTTTTTGTGCAAAACCCCCTAGCGCAAAAATGGATCGGCAGAAAATGCAAATGAGATTGCGACTCATGCAAATTAGACCCTCATTAGCATATTTTCTGCTGCAAAAACTGGCAGTGTAGACATTGAGTAATTGCTTTCTCCCCTGCCCCTCCCCTGCTACCTCTATTAGAGAGAGGCAGCAAGTGGGGGGAGCAGGAGCCGGTGCTGGTGGAGCTGGCTTAAAAGCCGGTTCCCCCCAGCACCATTTCTGCGGGGGGCAAGGGAGGTAGAGGCACAGTGGAAACGGTGCAAGCAGGGACTGAAGCAGTCTCTGCTTGTGCTTCTCCTGCAATTCTGCTTTTGAAATGTACAAGAGCCCCAGCTGGGTTTTTGTACATTTCAAAAGCAGAAGCCCCACAGGGAGCAGGGGGCCCCCTCTGGCCCTGCACTCTCTATGGAGCTTCCTTTTGAAATGTACAAGAGCTCTGCCAGGGCTTTTGTACATTTCAAAGTCTCAGGTGCTGCAGGGAGCACAGGGCCAGCGGGGAGTCCCCTGCTGGTCCCACACTCCCTGCAGGGTTTCCGCTTTTGAACTTATAGACTAATTGAATAATTGCTGGAAATCCCATCGACTATTTTATTAGTTAATTAATCTAAATTTAACATAATTGTTAAAATTCTAGAAACAAAAGGAAATACAGCCCCAAAAGTAGAATTAGCTCTGTCACTTCTCCTTTCTGATGGCTAAAGACAGACTCATCCAAGTTTGGAGTTTTCTGAAATATTCTTCTGGTTGTTTATTTTAGAGTTACAGTATCTGGGCTTGACTTCTCTTTTTTATTTGAGGACTCTGACAATCTTTGGGGTACTTATAGTAGCCTCATAGAAGGCTGAATCTTTCCCTCCCCCCAGACTGATGATCCAGTTCAGCAACACACATAAGCTAGTGCCTTCATTTGATGCATGTGACTATATATCGCCTGAAATCAATACTCTAAGTTAGGTCTGTGCTATGTACATTGCTGAATCAGGGTCTACGTCAGAAAGCTACACAGACAGTTCAAAAGCCAAGAGCTTGAAAAAGTTTTTGGACACCATTTTTAGAGGTGGATTGCTAAAATTTGGCATCTAAGGGAAAGGTGGCTGTTTTTCAGAGGTGCAGAGCACTTGCAGCTCCCACTGAAGTGCATTGCAGCAGATTAATTCTTTGGTGGGAGTCATTCCCCCTTGAAAAGTAGGCAATTATTGCTCCTTAAATAAGGACCAGTGATGTCAACATGTATAAGTCCTTCTCTCCAATGTTAAATTGGTCATTGTACTTATGGTAGGTATTCATAAAAAGAGCATGTGATGTTGCACTGCATAAAGATTAGGAGAGGCCGCATTTGGTATTAAGTGGAGACAACTTATTAACACGAGGTGGTCAGCATTTTTTAACCTGAAGAGGATTGTGTGTCTTTACCTTATAAAGAGCCGACATTGAGGCAGATCCCACAACAAGCGCTATCCCAATAACTGAATGACTGTGGAATCCATCCGCGTAGGTCATCATGACTATCCCTGCAATAGCAAGTATAGCAGCCACAATCTGGTAAGAAGCAAAGAAACAGAGGAAATATTATTTAGCAGCCCCACTCCAGCGACTAAAATATTTAATAGCCATTCTGAATGAGAGGGCAGCATTTTTGCACCATCTTCTTCAAGTGTTATTGTTATTAGCAGGGTCTGTTAGTGTCTTAAGAGCAAGTGTAAGGCCCACAAGCTGACTGAAAAACTGCATGCAAGGATCAGTGAAGAAGTGATTGTGTCAGGTTTCAGAGTAACTGGCAAGAGAGGAGTTGCTCTTCAGAGCAGTGTCACCTGATAAATCTGAAGAGGGAAATTCAGTTCCGTCACTGCATCTTGGCATCAGGTGGGCCCTGCAGCAGGTGTTTGACAACAATACATGACTTTGAATTGCCCAGGAAGGAGTTAAAATCCAGGGGAGATGTCAGGGGGAAGGAGTTTATTGGGGGAAAAAACCCAGTAAAATAAAGAACATCTGAACATTTTACAGGTCAGCCAGTGAGTGTATTCAGATGAAAAGGAATGGGAGGTGGATCAGAATTTTTTGACTCAGAAGAATGTTTACATTTTGAATAGGATTTTCAGCAGTGCCTAAGAGACTTAGGAGCACACTTTAATTAGCACCTGGGCTCCTAAGTCACTCAAGTGCTTTTGAAAATCCTACCCTATGAGCATAGAGTCTTCTTTAATTTGGGAGAAGAGCTTAGCTGAGAAAATTGGTTGTGTGTTGTGAATTAAGTACAGGTTGTACCTCTCTAAACTGGGATTTTCTGGTATGGCAACATCTGTGGAATGGCAGGCACAGCCAGGAGCCCGGCGAGGGGCCAGCAGCGTAGCCAGGAGCCCTACAATGAGGGGGCCAGTGGTGTGGCTGGGAGCCCATTGGCATCACTGCGAGCCCCATAGCGGGGAGGGGAACTGGCGGTGTAGCTGGAAGCCCCGTGATGGAGCCAGGAACCCCGTAGGGCTAGCAGTAGCCATGGAGCCATGGTCCTGGGAACCCCAGCTGGGCCAGTGGCAACAAGGCTGGCAGCAGCTGGGGAGCACTGGTCCTGTGGAGCCACGGCAAGGCTGGCTGCAGGGGGGCCAGGGCCAGAGCCCAAGTCCGGTGTCAGTAGCCAGAGCCCGTAGGCCAGAGCCCAAACCTGAGCCCAGCAACATGCATAAACCTGTCTTTCAAAGCCTCGCTGATTTGCACTGCCCCTCATTGTGCTCTCCTTATTGCCCTGATGTCTGACTGCTCAAAATCCCTGGCTAGGAGCTGTGCCGCGCCTCCTCTCCCCGCACTAACAGATAATGTTCCACCTCACTCTCACAAATATTATGGAGCACACAGCAGGCTGCCACCACAATGGGAATGTTGCATTCAGTGAGGTCTAAACTAGTCAGTAGACAGTAGAACCTTCCATTCAAATACCCCAAAGCACAATCTACCATCATTATGCACTGCTCTGCCGGTAGCTGAACTGTGCTTTACTGCGGTTCAGGCTGCCCATATGTGGCTTCATGAGCCATGGGGATCACTAAGGATCGCTATTGGCGTTTCAGTGTCTCCTATGGTAATTTTCCAGTCTGGGAAAAAAGTTTCAGCTTGCCAAAGAAGCAGTAATTTTTAAAGATACGTGTATCATGCATCTTTCTCAACCATCCCACATTGATGTTGGTGAAACAGCCCTTGTGATCCACCAGCCCCTGCAACACCATCGAAAAGTGCCCCTTGCAGTTTATGTACTCCTTGGCAAAGTGGCTGGATGCCAAGTTGGGGATGTGCTTTCCATCTATTACCTCACCACAGTTAAATAACCCCAGTGCCACAATACACTCCATAGCAGAAGTGTATTGATTACCTGGGCTACTTGAATCACAACAGCCCCCACTGTAGATTTCCCCTCACCGAATTGCATCTCCACTGACTGGCAGCTGTTTTGGCATTGCAAGCTTCCACAGGGCAATTGCCCCTCACTTCTCCATCTTAAGAGTGGGTCTCATTCTCGTATTTCTGTACTTCAGGACAGGGGAAAGCAATTCACAAATTTCCATGAAAATGGCCTTACGCATGCAAAAGTTTTGTAGCCACTGAGGATTATCTCATAGCTGCATCACAATGTGGGGCCACCAGTCTGTGCTTGTCTGATGGCATCAGAACTGGCGTTACACTGTGACTAGAGGATCAAATGCTGGTGGCATGTGCCAGTCACTCAACTCAAGTGCTACGCAGAAGAGTGTGTTCATGGCCTCCCGAGATGCGTTCTTGTTTCGGTGGATTCTGGATACACTTTGGACATACTCTAGCATTAGGCGCACAGTGGTTAATGTCAATGCTTTGATGCACAATGGGTTCCATGCTCATTCTGCTATGGCATCTGCGTGAATAACCAAGGGGAAAAAAGGGTGCAAAAAGACTGTTTGCCATTGCAGAGGGTGGGGGGAGGAAACAAGTACATTATGGGATGCTGATGACATGTACTCAGAACCACCTGTTGCACAATTTTGGTCCCAGAATGCACTGGGAGCATAACCCAGAATGCAACAGGATAGCTACCCACAGTGCATCACTCTCAAAGTCGAAGGTAGCCACTCTGCTGGACATGCACTACTTTCAACTACACTGAAGCCTTGTGCCTGGTGGGGACATGCACCTTTGACTTTACAAAACTGGGTGCTAAAAAATTGACCTTAATACATTCAACTTTATCTCTCAGTGTAGACATGGCCTTAGTCTGACTTGCTTAGCACTGGCCATAGAACTTCTCTCAACAATTCTGATTTGAACTAGAGCAGATCTTTTAGAAAAACATCAAGTCTTGATTTACAAATAGCCAGTGACAACAACCCCATCATAAGCCTTGGTAAATTGCTCCAAAGGTTAATTACCATGTTAAAAATGTATGGTGTATTTCCCACCTGAATCTGCCCAGCCTTGGCTTCCGGTCATTGAATCTTGCTTTAGGTTCATTTGCTAAACTGAAGAGCGGATTATCAAATATTTGTTCCCCATGTAGAAACATATAAACTGTGATAAAGTTACCGGATAATCTTCTTTTTGTTAGGGTAAACAGATGGAGCTGCTAGTGTCTATCCTGAAAGCACTATGCAAGATTGAGCTCAAGTTGTATTAAGTTAAAAGATCCCTAATCTTAAATCCAATAGCCTCTTGCATCTTGGATGACACCAAAAGGATTTATAAACTACAGGTTGGACCTTCCTCGTCTGGCACCCTCGGGCCCACCAGCCCCGAATGAGGGGATTTGCCAGACCAGGAGAGGTCCCTCCCCTCATGGCCCCTGGCTAGGGCTCCAGCCTAATCCCGCTGCTGCCTGCCCAGCTGTGGTTCCCTGGGCCAGAGTTCCCTGGTCACTGCCAGCCCCCTGCTACCACCTGGCTCCTGGGGCCAGAAGTCCCCGCTGTGCTGGCTCCCCTCAGGACTTCTTTGCTGCGCTCCTGCCCCACAGCCAGACTTTCCTATGCCTGGGTTCTGTGGTCCAGGAACATGGATGTTGTCGGAGCAGAGAGTCCCGGTTAAGGAAGGTACAACCTGTAGTTAATGATGAGAGGGGTGTGAGCTATGGAAATCTTGATCCACATTTTACCAACTGTTGGGGATACTCAGATATGGCATTTTGACTCACACCCATCTTTATCTAATATACCAGGATAACTGTGAATTATCAAGAGTAGCAATTCTGTAGGACTGGAATTCCAAAAGTGCATTTATGAACTGAAAAATGGTTTAAGTTTTGCTACAAATTTCAGTGGGTGGAAATCCTAGGAGACGGAAGTACACTCTTAAAATCAATACCAACTGACTTTTGGTGTGCATTTCTAGACTCAAGTCACACTGACATGTCATGCTTAGATATATAGTAACATGTATGCTGAATTAGCAGTTGGCTTCTTCTCTTGAATGCTTTTGACTATAGAATGAAAATGGAATATGGCCGTCAAAGTCTAAAGCAACTAAATCCAGACTTCTAGTGATTTTTCTCTTGCCGAGGCTCCAGCCTGCCTATTAAGGATGTCACGAGCACCAGAGATTGTGTTGGATTAAATTTAAGTCTTCCCATCATTAGCTGTGTCTACATTGGCACCCTTTTCCGGAAAAGGGATGCTAATGAGACAAATCAGGAATAAGGGATCTTCTGGAAAAGGCTTTATTTTCCGAAAGATCCCGTCTAGACTGGCGCTTTTCTCCGGCAAAGCCCCGAGCCGGAAAAAAGCGGCAGCCATGTTCATGCAAATGCCGCGGGGGATATTTAAATCCCCCACGGCATTTGCAATTCCGACTTGTCTCATTAGCATCCCTTTTCCGGAAAAGGGTGCCAATGTAGACACGGCCACCTTCTCTAGGTGCCAATGTAGACACAGCCACCTTCTCTGAAAGCATTACAGCCTATCAAGCAAGTATATTCTGCTTGAAATCCTGACTCATCATAGCTTCTTGGCTGCAGATATTTACACAATTCCTAACAATGTCTGTGATTAAAAGGCGACCCAGTGTTGGGGAATGGTGCTCTAGAAGGGAATTCTGAAGTTAGTCATTTCCTTTGTAGCTATCTGCCACATGTTACAGAAGACCATGCTAGTGAAGTAATATCTTTCATTGGACCAACTTGTGTTAAGGAAATACATGTCTTCTGTTCTACTTGGACAAAAGCTAAACATGATGTGTGCATGTGTGTGTAAAAACCAAAAGTGAAAGGTCATATATTATTTTGGATGATATCTAAAGAAATACTTACAAAATAATAGCAGTAGCAAATAAACTCTAAAGTGTAGCCCTCAGGATACTGTAGAATAACATCAGTTTTCTAATGAACTAGAAAGGCTTGCCAGATTTGGAACTCTTGGTCCTTGTAATGTCTAGGGAAAACCCCCTCTATTCCTGACCAGAACTTTGGAACAACCAAATGGAGCCAGCATCCAAGGGACCTATCTGAGGAATCCATCTATCTATAGGTTCACACAAGCCCCAGTGTATGCTCACACAGGACTTCCAGAAGTTTTAGTTCTGTCCAGCCAGAGGGCATATATTTAATAATGCTGATAACTTGCTACATGAAAGCTGAATCTTAATTTAAGATTTCCAGGCTCCTAGTGGTGTGTGTTACACAACATTTCTGAGGCCATGTTGCGGGCTCTGAAACACCTCCCAGTTCAGAGTGAGATTAGCCTTGTAGGATGTTACTTGCGTGCTGACTGCTTTCCCTCTTTGCTGCTGTTGAAAGCAGGAGGACACAGAGGTTCTGACTATGGGCCAGTGGCATAGCCACAAGTGGGCCTGGTTGGGTTGTGGCCCGCCCACTTAGGATCCAAGCTCTGGAGAGACAGCCCCATTACAAACCCACCCTGAGGTCACTATCCCATAGAAATAATCATACACGCTAGTCTCTTCTGTTCTCAAGTGTCCCGACCCACTGCTCTCCAGCAACAGCAGTGGGCAGGTACAAAGGAACAAGCATCCGAACCTGCTCCAGGGACCTCCCTTCTATCCTACTCTCTCCAAGACTGGTTGGTGAGAGGCGGCCCAATCTTTCCTGCCCCCGCTTCCCATCATTTCCCACCCATCTGAAATCAGGGCCACCCAAGTGTCCCCTTTTGGATACACCACTGCTAGGGGCCAAAGCTGGCTGTATTGAGTGGCTTATGTTTCTTTGCAAGCAAGTGGGATGTCAAAGAACATCGTCCAGGCTGGAGTGCAAAAAGCACACAGACAGACAGATTTTTAAAAGAATCCAGATGTGAACTGTCTGACGTGAATCCATCATTACCAGTAACTTCCATTTACACACTGCCTTTCATCACGCAGGATTACAAAGTTCTCTACTCTGTTGCACATGTATGTTTACAATCTTTGCATCTCTCATCATAGAAAAGCAGCCACCCAAAGGAGTGAAACATCAGTTGTTTAACAGGGTACAGCAGTACACTACACACTGCGCTGGAAAGTCATTAAGAACACCGTCTCCAACTACAAATGCAGGAGAATTAAAGAGGGGAGGATGTAAATGTTCTCCACTAGAGTTTGACCAGAACAATGGGGTCTTAACTAACAGTCCCAATCGTTTGTTTCTCTTATCCAAAAGACAACAAAACCAGCATTATAGTCACCCCCTAAAATCACTACAGCTCTTCAACTGAGGCTCCCTTGTTGGTTACTCTCTTCCTTCCCTTCCTCCTGGTTAAAATAAGTACATTGTCAAGTCAGTCAGAAAGTGTAATGTGCAGACAACAGCTGGATGGTTTGCTGGTACCTTTTGTAATTTTCCCTGTTGTAGCCTCAGGGCCCTGCTGCAATAATAACAATGTGGTTCAAGATTTTCAATAACACAGAAATAAATTCTTCTATTAAAGTAATTTTTTAATCTCAGCATATCCTGGGGGTTAAACTTGCCCCGAAAACAAAAGAGAAATATTGTCCAGGCTTAATGAGAAGAGAGCAGACTCCTCATCTCCACTTCGGCTGGCGTAACGGGGTGTAACGTAAATCCCCAGTGTCTTCACATTGCAACTGCTTTCAGCCCCGCTGAATAGCTTGGGGCAGGAGGCATGAGTAACAGCTGCTGATCAGAGCTGCCTCTGTAGACAGTGGGGAATATGAGAACTGCCTTTTGGTGCTAAGGGCTGCTGGAATATTCTCCAAGGGCTGAATGGAGACAGGACTTAATTCTAACAACTGCAAAGGCAACTCTGGATCAGATTTTCCCTCAAAGCTTACCCTCCTCCATGTCACCCATGGAAGGGGTAAGCTGTGTTGGTAGTACCTCTTGGACCATAGTCTGTGGCTGCAGGGTCTATGCAGAGCATGGGCAGGCTGCAGAGAAAGCTCTGTCTCCCACCTGTGTGCCCACAGCCAGGAGAATTTACTGGAGGTGTGCTTCCTTGGAGCCATGTTGGCAAGTTCCAACCTCCACAATGTTACACCGCAGAGATCTCCCACCCAGAATTCCCTCCTCTTGCTAGCCTGTGAGACATAGCCTAAGACCAGGTAGTTCTCTCCAGCTCTTCACCTGCCAGTGTGTCTTATACAGGCTGTGTTATGTAGTGTTCATTCACAAGATTTCTGTGAACTCTAGCCCAAACTGTGCAGCCATGCAATGGATAGCTGAGCTCACTGCAGGAACATTTTTGGTGTCCTCCCTCCCATTTCCACACAGAAACAAGATATAAAACAGATAATTGAAGAAAAAGGAGCTGAATTAGCCACATCTGTGTTTATATCAATAGCTGTCCACAATCAGGCATGACACAGAACTTAATACTCTAATTCCACAGGGCTTGTGTCATAGGCAGATGTGAGATGCACCCATGTATTCACAGAATATGGACGAAAATGCAAAAGGACATGTAAAGCACCCAGAGAAATTCACAATTTTAAAAATTTCTAAGTACCTTAGGCTCAGTGCTTTGTAGTAGAAAGATAACAGGAAAAGGATGATAAATGTTCATGACAACATGGGGGTACCAGTTATCCTTCCTGTCATAGTCTGGGATAAGTTATCTCATTTGGAAGGAACAGTTAGCAAAGAGAGCAAGTTCTAGGAAGAGGAGGCTGCAATGTTGAGAGATATCCACACAGTGATGGTTCTCAGTGCTGATTTGTTTTGTAATGAAATGCATTTCTGCACAGACTACAGGGCCAGAGGATTGCAAGCACCATAAGGCTATTATGTTGACTCATCTCATAACTTCACCTCTCTAAAAGATCAGAGAAACCTGCTGTTATTAATGTCAGATGCTGTTCTGAAGGAGCCAAATGGAAGCGGGTTAAAGCGAAGGAGGGAGGGAGACAGAGAGAAGGAGACACTTACCCTCACTCCCATGAACCTGTCCCTGAGAACGATCCATGAAAGCAAGAACACAAAAGCTTTGTTGCAGCAGAACAACACGGAGACATCCGTAGTGTTTATTTTCTTTATTGCATGTAAGTACAGGTAGTTTGTGAGTGTCCAAAGAACACCAAAGGGTGCTGCCTTGGTAAAAAACACCTTCATAGTCAAGCCATTGTCTCCAAAAAATCGGCAGCACTCCCTAAAACAAGGAAAGAAAGGCAATATTATTATACCTGAGTGGTGAACAAGTCCTGCATGTGTCGTACCAATTAGAATGCCTTTTTTTTGTACCATCTCTTTCCTACAAGACGGGTGACAAGTTTCAGTCTGCTGCAAAAGCCATCATTTGCACAAAAATATTGAACACATAGAGGGGATTATAAAGCCAAAAATGATAAGCACATAAGAGTATGGTGAAAGGTGGAGGTAGGGGGTCAAAATGAATAACTATAATATTAATAAGGTGCACCTTTAATCCACAAATCTGAAAGTTCTTTGTATCATTATTATCACTGTAGAGCTGGGAAAACAAGTGGTTCCGTAGCTTGCCCAAAGTTATCACACAGATCTGTGATCTGGTTGGGAGCAGAATCCAGGCCTTTTGATGCCCAATTTGTTGCCTTAGCTACTAAGCTAGTGGCCTCCCCTGTAATCAGAAAAGAGAAGAGATGGGTAATGAGGCAGGATCTGAAATGGCTGGAGACTCACTGAAACTGAGTTTAAGACAAAGGCTTTTCCATCAGACAGGTGCAATGTTGCTAAAGGCACTGTCACCGTCGGAGACTCAGAGTGAGGACTAAGCTTTGCCCATAACCAGTTCAATGAATGGAAGAAAGGAAAAGGAAGTTGGTGAGGTCAGCTCTAATGAGGCAATGGTGCCCGGGAAGGTAAATAAGGGTCAGGATGATGAGTTTATGTTTGAGAGTTCTTGGTGGTCACAGTGTTCAGGACCAAGTTGAAATTTGGAAAGGAGACCAGCCCAGAGGAAGCTGTGGTACTCAAGGTGTGAGGTTGGGAGTGCATGGATTATAGATAAGGACAGAGAGAAAGTGAAGATAAGGGCAGGAATGAACAGTATTGTTTATCCAAATCCAGCTATATTAGGTCCTGCAGATAATGGACAAGATGGAAAAATAAACACTGATGGATCATTTCTGGTACATCTCACAAGGAGAGATCAGAGTCAAGGCGGTAGATGGAAGAAATGAGAGAGCATTAGGGCAATTATTCTCATTTAAAAGAAGGAACACAGCCTTGGAGACAATATTCTGGAGATAATTTGAGTGGAGCCAATCACTGAGGAATATATGACAGAGATCGTGCACAGAGAAGTGGAGATGTTGGCAGGGACAAAGGATGGATGGATGGATGGATGGATGGATGGATGGATGGGAAAAAAAGTTTGGTATCATCAATGTAAATGTGATGTTTATTGTCAAACAGAGAGCAGAGGTGGTGATAAAGCCGGGATTGGATAGAGGGGTCAAGAACACAATGGTAGGACATCTTTGCAGGTGTAAACATTGTAAGCTAACCATCTAGAGTCACTGGTTTTATGACAATTGCAAAACTAAAATGGCATGTGCCAAACAAATTGTTTGCATGCAAATACAGTATAATGCAAAATGGAAACACAGGGATTTATAATCTGAAGATAAAATTTGCAGCCTAATGACATATTTGGATGTCAGTAAAAAATGTTGTTGTTGTCTATGCTATATTTGCTTGTTTCCAAATTTGGCAATAAACACGAAGAAATTGGAGCAATAAATATTTTGATAAAATTTTGCACACAGCTAATTTATCACAGGGTTACTGCAAAATAGGTTTGCATATCACTTTACACAAGTCCCATGATTAAGTTGGATTTACTGATAGAATGTTGGGAGGGAGATTAATGGCTCATTTTGATCCTTATTCTCAGAGGGAGTGGGTAATTTTCCAAATGGAACCTTGTGAGATTTCCCCATCACTAGAGGTACATGTAATTTTAAGGATAATTGACTATGTGCTCTTTCTTAAATGTATGTATAATTTGGAGCTACATGGTTATATTCTGTTTCCCCTTGTAGACACAGGTAGAGGCCCATAGTCTCAGCAATTCTTTGGGCACAGTGAGGTGCCTTGATTGCAAATAAACCGACACATCTTCTGACACTCACCATACCTAGAAACAGCAACAATAACTATTACCTCTCAACCTCACTTCCCTCACTCTGATTACCAGGGCTCGACAAATAATGCAGTCTACTCACCTGGGGTGAGTAGATTGCAACCCGGAAGAGCTGGGTTCCGGCGATCTGTGCATGCACAGAATGGATTGTGCATGCGCAGATCGCCGGACAGCACGGCTGGCAAGCCCTGCTGATTACAGACACACACCACCCTGGGCAGCTCCTGGTGAGGGAGCCTGACACATTCCAAGGGAAGGACTGGAAGACCCTGTTGCAGGAACAAAGAAGAAGCCTACTCCTGGGCTATGGCTATACTGCAGAGTTTTTGCGCAAAAACTTGCGGAGCATCCACACTACAAGTGCATTTTTACCAAGAAAAAGTACAGTAGATTGTCAGAAGAAAGGGCTTTTTGCACAAGAGTTATTCCTCTTTCTACAAGGAATAAGCCTTTTTGTGCAAAAGCTCTGGTGCAAAAAGGTGGGTGTGGCTGGATAACAGAGTTTCTTGCGCAAGAAACCCCTATCGGAAAAAAAGCACAGGTGCTCTGATGGCCATTCTGTAAATGGCCATCAGAGGTTTCTTGCACAAGAGCGTCCATGGCATTGTGGACGTTCGCTTGTGCAAAAGCACATGGCAGTGTGGATGTGCTCTTGCGCAAGAACTTTTTGCAGAAGATCTCTTCTGCAAAAAATTCTTGCACAAGAAGCCTGCAGTGTAGAAGTAGCCCTGGTGTCACCACAGAACTGGTGCCTAGTTGTGCTTCATCTGCCTCAGGGAAATCCCAGGCATTAAAAGACACATTTTTTTTTTATATTTCAGTATTTGCTTGTTTTCCTCTGTTTTTTTCATACCAAGGGCTACATTGAATCTGCCCATCCTAGGACTAGTTCACTCAGGAAATTGAGGAGGATGTATGGGTTTTTCTCTCCCTGAATCATTGGGTCCCAGAAGCCTGTGAGTAGTGTCTGAATGTCATTACCAGCAGAAGGGTATCCTGTGTCTCCTGGTATCAGCCCAGGCCCTAATGAACCTAGTAGCTATGTCTCCATGTTGTTCTATTCCTACTTTGAAATCCCCATGTGAGGAAATACTGTCTCTTCTAGAGCTGGCCGCTGATTGGGGATGTTTGAGGCATATTGGGGTAGTACAGAGAAGCTTACATAGTTGCTAATCTCTGCCTCAGCTGAAATCATGGTGCAGGTTCACTCTATGACTTTCACAAACACTAACTTCACTTAAAGGACAAAGGAATGTCCCCAACTCAGGACCTAATTTTGTGCTAGAGCTAATACAGCTCAAGAAGATCAGACGTAAATTTTAAGTGAATGCCCAAATATGTGAAGACCCAAAATCGGGGGCTGTAGTTTGCTAGAAAGAAACAGAGGGCCCAGGTATACTACATTCCTCGCTCCCAAAATGTCACTTAAGGGATTGACTACTAGTCTGAGTCAGAACTGAAGGATTTCCCCTGCATTGTGCAGGTTGGCTTTAAAGTAAGAAAATCAAACTGCAGGCTGAAAAACCTCAGCCACTGCTTAAATGAAATGCCCCAAAGTATGATTAAAAGGGGAGGGATGGGAGTAATTCACTCAAATCAGAATGACTAAAAGTAGAATTCATTATTTTACAGGAAAATATTACTTCCTCCAAAATATGTGCCTGCCCTATAAGTGCATACATAGCTATCTCATATACTTTATGTTCCATATCACATAGGTGGTGCTGTAGTGTGAATGCTCCTTGTCAAATTAGGCAACGTAAAATCCAACATGTAACACCATTGAGGTGGGCATTAGAACCTACTGTGGGTATCGCAGAGGCTATAGTCCTTACTAGACCCTCAGAGCTTATTCTCCACAGCAACTAGAGTCAGGGCCTTTGGTCTTCTAGATCAGTCCTGCACCCTAAGGGTGCTTCTACACAGCAGCGTTATTTTGGAATAACATTGCGAGACTTGCAGCTAGTCCGTTATTTAAAAATAATTTCAAAATAACTGGCAGCTTATTTTGGAGTTTCTAAACCTGATTCCACGAGGAATAACGTCTCTTCCAAAATAGCTATTTCGGAATAGTCGTAGTGTAGATGCTCCACTGCTGCTATTTCAAAATAACTCCTCCCCCAACCCACTCAAAGTTATTACTCCCCAGTGCTTCCTGGGGCTCTAAATCGAGGTAGCACATCCACATTAGGGGAGCCTGCCTCGGACTAATTTTCAGGCTTCTCTGTAGTGTAGACGTGCTATTTTGGAGTATTTCTTCTGGAATAGCTTTTTCTGAAATAATGGTGCAGTGTAGATGTAGCCTAAGAGACTCACCAGATCACTAAGTCCTCTGCCACTCTTGCGCTCCTCCACATGGAAGTAGCAGCAGATAACAGGAATACGCTTCATAGCCTGGTGACATCAACTCCTCCTTGAAACTTGGATTCGGGGGGTTGGTTGCCTCAGTCTACTAAGGTCACTTTGTGCCCTGCAGAATCATGGCCTGATTTTTTTCTCATTTGCTGTATTGCAATTGGCTGTCGGTTGATCCTCATCCCTTTCCCCCTCATCTACCCCAACAACCTCCTTTCTCTTACGCTTCTCCCCTCTTGCCTCTCAGCTTTCTTCTTTTATCTATCTTCCTCTCTTACTTAAAAAATCCCTTTTTCTCTCCACTTCAACCCTGAGCTCCCACTCCTCAAACAATTATATGAACCACCAGGTTAAAAATGAAGGAAGTATTCTGTTTGCCATTCATCACCGTAATTGCTCCACTTGCTCTGGTGTGCTACAGCCCTTTCCCCACTACCTGCCTGAGTTGGGTTCCATTTTGTACTCTGCAAGCTCTTGTGGGCACGGACTGTGTTTTGCTGTCTTGTTCTTTATTTTCACAGCACACAGACCCAATCTGATTCAGGTGCATTCCCCCCTTTCCCTCCACACACAAATGGGCTCTTCAGAAATGATGTAATGTTATTGCTTTTAGAAGGGCTGATATTGTTTTGGAGGAGCTTTTAGAAGGTCTTATATTGCTTTAGAGGAGT